TCTTACTATTCCTACTAATCTAAATTATGTGTATATCCTATAAGAGGTGCTATACTTATTATAGGTACTAATTCTTATAGGTGCTTTCTTAAGGAGGCACCTTACTCTATATAGGTGCCTTTTCTAATAGGCACCTCTCCTTTACTAGGTACCTCCTAAGAAAGGTACCTTTTCCTAAAGGTGCCCTTATTAACTAAGCTACCTATAATCTCTATGTCTATTTCCTACTACTAATTAGCTATAAGCTATTTTACCTTATTACTCTATCTTATAGTATATAGGTTATATGTTTTAGCTATAACATTATAATACATTCTACTACTCTACTTAAGGTAGAAGTTAAGGCTCTATAAGTAGTAAATGAATAGAAAAAGAGGAGGGAAAGGAAGTGTAAGAGGTGTATAATATAAGGGGGAACCCTCTCTATATAAGATGTAGAGGATATCCTTTAAAGTACTAAGGTTAATGCTTAAGTCTATATAGAGGTAGTAAGTAGAACTACTTAGTAGGTAGGTTCTATAGGCTAATAGAAGCGCTATAGCTTATATAGTATTATAGGCTATAACTCCTATATATATAAGAGGCCTAAGGATTTAATTACGATTAAATAAGGGTTATTATGTAGGGTAGTAGTATAGTAGTAGGTAGTAATAGTTAATTTTAGTGTTTTAGTAGGCTACTCATTTAGGTAGGCCACTTATATAGGAAATACGTTATGTTTTTTTATAAATATTTCTACTATTTTTGCTACTCTAAGTTACTTTATATATAATTTATTATATAAAGGTACTTGTTTATTTTTAAACTTAGAGAAATATATAACTTTAAACTTCTGTTATTTTACACCTTTTCTTATGATTAACAACTTTACAAGGCTTTAAAATTTAATTCCTTTTATTAAAAGTAATATTATATATATATATATATTCTATTAAATTTTAGAAGCATTAATAAAGTATTAAGGTAGTTTATATATGTTTTTATTATACTACTTTTATTACTTTTAGTCACTTTACATATAATTTACTATGTAAAGGTACTTACATTTTTAGTATGAGTTGCTAAACTTACTTCTACTTTTAAACGAGTTGCTGAACTTGCTTCTACCTACAGTTATATAACTTTTAAGCTAAAATATAAAACTACATAACTAGAGGATTCTAACAAACTGATTTTTAAGATTTTATCTTAAGAGACTATAGAGACTTTATTTATTTTAGTTATAAAGTAAACTATTAAATATCTTAGTTATTTCTTAAGATAAAATTATAAAAATTACATATTTAGACTTCTATAATATAGAATTTTATTTAAAAGGTCTAAAATGTTTTTATATTTATTTTTATCCTTTTTCTTAGGGTTAGGGTAAAGTCGGAATTGTGTTAGCTATAGAAAATACATACGGAGGACATTGACGTTGTACCTCACCTCTATATATGTTGGCTCCTAAGAAATCCTCACGGTACATCTTGCTAAATTTATTGGAATTGGGAAATTAATCTTAGTTTCGTGTCCACATACTTCGCTATGATCGAGCAGGTGTCTGTCTAGATCAGTTCCACAGCTGTGCTCTTCTTGGCAAAGTCTCTCCTTCAGCGATTCTTTCAAAATATCTACGTCTGAGGCATGGAGCAATTGATTCGGAATAATTCTACGCACGATTCAGGTGGCAGCAGTTCAGGCATTAATCCAAGTCAAATTTTCGGGACAGTTGTGCTCGGCCATTGCGGCCAAAGCAGCCAGGGAAACCCGTCAAAACCCTGCTGAGCGTGTCTATACAATCCATCCTCTGGCGCCATTCCCCTTTCCTTCATCCTGCCGCCTATTGGGTTCGTTTTTATCTTCGGTCGATACTTTTATGCCTTCCATATCATGCACCCAGCATCAGTGCCATCCTAAGCTACACCCACTACCAAGTCCATCTCCTCGCGCCCCAAAATTCATCAGTACGGTATGGGAATTGCTTGGAAAGAGCGCGCTCAACCGCGTTTCCAACTTACAGCTCTAGCTCGGTTTTGAAGGTGAAATCTTGCACCCATGCACTATGCGCACGAGGGTTCATCTTCAAAACCAAACCAGAGCTCAAACTTGGCAACGGACTTGCCAAGCCCGCTCCTGTCAAGCAATAACCTAGCTAAAGAGGTTTTGTAAGCAAAATAAACACGATAGTGGAGGCACCTTAGGATGATTCATGCTGGGGCTCCCATCGCTGGTTACATAGCATCTAGGCCGGAGCCTAGATCCATGACCCTCAACATTTGTGCAACGGAATCGAGTCCACCGTTGTAGAACGCGGCTCCAAGTAAGGCTTCCATAGTTGTTGCGACCATATTATAGAGTCCAAGATGAATTCCGTGCCGGCGTTACACCTCATGTGCTGATCAATTCCGAGAGCTCTCCCCGGGCGAGCAAGGTTGGCATTGCTGAGGTAAGTTTGTCGTTTCCTGTCGCCAGCGCCTATGCCCTGTCAATATAATAGCCTTTGAAGGGTGCTAAGATGAAAAACCTCGCGATTGAGTGGTCGGAAACCACTGTGTTTGGCCTGGCTCCACGAGCATTGTATTTAACCTAAAAGATGCAAAGGGCAGAAAAGAACTTCGATGTCATCCTAATGGCCGCCATTATTGGAGGAGAGCTCAGTGGCCGTCATCGTCACCATGGAAGGGCTCTCGAGTCTTTCTCGTTCCGTCAACCCAGGGAGCACGGGAAGCTCATAGCCTCAGACAGTCGAGAATCATCGGGCGCCTGGCTGGCTCAAGCAAGCCATTTTGGATTTCCAAACTCTCCGTTGGGCCTCGCAGGTAGTTTCGGTTGTCATCAATGTAAACTCGAGCAATCTGAAACCAACTTCGAACTTCTGAGGCAAGGATCCTTGTTTAGCTTAACACCAATCACTCACCCTTAAACGAATACTTGCACAGTGTTAAGAGTAAGGGGTTTTAGAACATGCTCATGTGGGATGGCAGTAGAGACAGCACAACACTTCCTCTTTAATGCCGGAACTGGACGCAAGATAGAGAGGAGTTGAGGGCTGCAATTGGAGAGAGACGGGGCTGACCTGTCCTACGCACCAGGCGGGTGGAGTGGACGGGGGAGCCGCATAATAGAAGCTGTGCTTGACGGACCAAGATGCACATGGAAACCAAACACCAAGTCATCAAAGCGGTCATCAATTTCGCGAAATGTACAGAGCGATTTCACCCAAAGGCACTTGTACAAGAGGAATGGGATAGCCAGAGACAGCAGAGGATGGTCCATTGCAACCGCAGTTAGGCTCGACCTGTTGTGCTTGAACTGGGAAAATATGACATAATCTCCTCATACATCGCCTTCTTGAGCTTCTCCATATCTTCAATACTTTCAAAATTAACCGAGCTCTCAGGTAGTGGAGCTGCGCTTGGCTCATTTTCCGGATTGTGATACTCCCTCAGATATTCGTGCCTGAGGGCCTCTTCTGCCCTAATACGTTTTGTAGGGTCGAATTGTAGGAGCTTCTTTAGTAGATCGAGGGCGGAAGTTGAGGCTTTAGGAACCTTGTCCATGAGAGGCACCTTCCTCTCGGGTTTGTAATTAGACATGATAGCGTTGCGAGAATCTTCAGATCTTATCCACATGTAGTCTTGGTTACCCAATACATTCAAAATCTTGGTGAGGAGGCGGTCGTCTGAAGTAAAATTAGACATGAACTTGACGGACGAGCTTTACCTACGATTCCACCCCTGGAAAAGCGGCTTGCCACTTAACATTTCGGCGAAAGTACAGCCTGTGAACCATATATCAACGGCTAGAGTGCATTCTCCGGGTGTCAACACCGCTTCTGGAGGGCGATATCCCCTAGCCATAACAGACCCAGTTAAACTTGAGCTATTCTCAGATCGGGGAGAACGCGCAAGGCCAAAATCGCAGATTTTAAGTTGGTCGTCCGAGTTAATTAGTATATTAGCTGGCTTAATATCTGTCACGATCAGGAGTCGGCCGTGTTATTTGGCGAGGCCTGTACCCCTGGCAAAATACAGACCAAAGTGCCCCCACAAAAGTCATTGTAACAACTGAACGGAGTTCAGTTGCCAGTACAGGTATATATAGCAGTTCTCAATTAACAGCCGACCCCCTTCTGTGTCACGTGAACGTGTCCGGGGCCCCGCAATAGGCAACTCTGCAAATCTGTGCTCTCGTCTAGCTCGGCGAGCGCACACAGAGTATATAAGTAGGAACGAGCTGGCTTCAATAGGAAGCCAGCGGCTAGTTTTAATAGCTACCTCCGAATAGAACATGATTACCTACGAAACCCCATGCTGCTTACCTGTCTTGAATCACCGAGCGATATGACTCTCACAATATCCCTGTGCATGATCTTTACAGAATGAAGAGCTTTCAGAGCGCATAAGATCTGGTAGATAAAATGCTAGCAGCGGTCGGCCGATAGATGATTATTACTCATGTAATGGCGCAAATCTGACCTCATGCGGTCCTACTTCATGTCAGGAACGAAGGGACGATGGAAGGTATTACTATACCTGGGTAAGGTAGACCTCCGAGAACTTTTCATAGCTCTGTGGCTTCTGAATATCAAGGAGAGGAATGATATTCTTATGGTTAAAGTGCCGCAGTAGCTTTATCTCGCGGACAGTACGGCTCGAGACCAAACCCCCCCCAAATTGGGGGTGGATCACAGATTGGCTTCAACGTTGATGAGTAAGCCAGCAGCAAGATCCCGACGATGCAATTAAAGTCTCCGCACAAACAGCCAACACGAAGGATGACGACCACCAACATGACGATGGTTCCTCCAGCGACGACGATGATGATGCTACGATTGAGCCGCGAAAGCTTGTGCGCGAACATGGGACTGAACGGCTAAAAGCAGCACTCCTTGACAGGCTCGCCGAGTTCATGGCCGCTATCCCTCCAGGTGGCCGAGGCCCCGGAGAGGACAAAACGGCGAAGGCAAAAGACATCTGTGCTACTTTTCTGCAGATGGTAGATGGAACTGCCGTCGTATACATCACTAAGAATGGAGGTCTCAGTCCGGACGACGTGAAAATGCTCAAGAGACTCCAAATCGGGCTCAGCGCTGGGTCGAGAACCTGGCAGCCCCGAGACAAGACTAAAGATTTGCTCCGGCCCACGATGGTACAGTTTTATAAGGGTCGCCTCGTGTGGTATTTGCATAAACTCGGCGAAGTCTTCCGACAGGTACAAAGTACCTTTCTGGTAGATGATAATGAAATTAATAGCAAGCTAGCAAGACTACAGCAGCTTTGTTTTCTAAACGAAGAACTGGATGATGGACAGTGGACCGACGCTATATCGCTCGAATACGAATTGCGCCACGAGCCACCACTCAAAGCCCACCTCCACACTCTTGGCCTCTTCGAGGAAGATTCTCAAAAATTACTCAGGCAGGTCCTGTTTCTTGGGAGACCAGAGTCAGCTTAAGTACATGCAAGAAACTATCCATGTACATGCTTAATATTGCGCCATAGTTACCACATATTTGTCGAATTTGCTCTCTTCTTTGTCCTTTCCGTGCGGCATATCACTCTCAAATCCATCTCTCCAGTCCCGCCACGATTCCTTCCAGAACTGACAGATGGCGAATTAATAGACCGGTTAATCACAGTAGGCATCGACCTCCGCCCGATCGCCTTTCGAAAAGACAAAAAGAAAGTCTATATGGGGAAATAAGCAAGCGCGCCTTGTGCTTCAAGTCAGGGGTTTAGGGTACAGTTAGATAACTATAATAGGTGGTAGGATAGGTTTTATAAATGTGTACGACGATTTCCGAAAAAGCCTCGACTTGTGATACACATCTACAATGCTTATATGGTGGCTTAGACCCTTCTTAGAAATCAAACTAGAGCTTCATCAGGATGCAACGCTCCACTGTGACAACCTTCAGACAGTCCGTCTTATGATTTAAGATGCACTAAAGCCAATACCCAAGCTTCGACATGTGGATATTCACCAACACTGGCTCCGCGAGCAAGTTGGTGAAGGAGAAAACGTAGTCCCATTTGAAGAAACTAGAACCAAGAAAATGAACCGTCTACCTATCCAATTCCTAGACCAGACCTATATCTTCACTAGTCGGATTGAGACTTGAATTAAACGATCTCCCGCCAAAGCCACACGTAAATAAAATTTAATTCTATCTACACGGTAATCGAATAAGACCTTCCCGCTATCGTAGATATTGGCCCACTATACCTCACACCATCGACAGAGAAGGTCGTGCCTCCTGCGATCCTCAGTGCCAACATTCCACCAATCTGTGACCTCACGGTCGCCGTCAATAAAGCATGATTAGCCCATGTGATATCTACCACGAAATTCCCTCGAGCCACTAATCCCTTAACACTACCTGCTGCTAACACATTATTTGCCAATGCAGGCGTCAAATGCACAACACCAGCGTGACTCTGGAGCAAGACTTCTGTGAACGCGGCAACCAAGCCAAGATTTCCGTCGATCTGGAATACCGACGTGTTCAAATCAAACAAATTGTTCGAGAGATAAGAAGACACGAGGTACAAGACGTGGGACACAGCTTCATTGCCCTGTAGCAGTCGGGCATATATTCCAGCGGCCCATGCGCGAGACCAACCCATATTCCCACTTCCAGCCTCCATACGTCTATTGATGCTGACTAATGCGGCGTTTGAGAGTGTGGTGTTAAGCAGAGGACTGATTTGCGAGCCAGGGTACACTGCAACAAGGTGAGACAAATGTCGATGCCCTGGTTCCCTTTCAGCATATTGGCCTGACCATTCTAGTATTTCACCACTATTTCCAACTATCGGAGGTTTGATCTTTGACAAATAATCCTTCGCTTGTGAAACGCCGGCAGTACTACCGAGAGCATCCGAAAGCTCGACAAAACCTTTGAAGAGCTCATAAAGGACTTGCCGGTCGTGAGCAGTTCCATGATCTAAACCTGCAATGGCACCACCAGTGCACTTGTTCGCAGGAATGTAATATTGGTTTTCGGGAGATGCAGCATAGCCTGTTGCGTAGTATCCATCGGGCTTAAGGATGAGAAAATCATAAAAGAATGATAGAGCATCACTTAGTATGGGCAATGCAACATTTGCTGCAAAGTTGTTGTCTCTAGAAAATCGGTAATGCTCGATCAACTGCAGACTAAGCCAGGCACCGCCCATCGGGTTTGCAGACCAGAGCGTATCGCTATCATGTGGAGCACAGTCGCCCCAAAGATCAGTATTATGATGGCAGACCCATCCCCCAGCCCCATACATCGTTCTCGCCACATCCTGCCCTCGACTTTGCATTCGTTTCAGATGATCAAAGACCGGCATAGAGGTCTCTCCAAGGTTTGTTGTTTCAGCTGGCCAATAGTTCATTTGTATGTTGATATTGATTGTGAACTTCGAGCCCCAAGACGGATCAAAATTATCATTCCAAATTCCTTGGAGGTTTGCTGGCAAGCTACCGGGGCGAGATGATCCGATGAGAAGAAATCTCCCGTAGTTATAGGCAAGAGTTAGAAGTTCGGGATCATAGTTGACACCCCCTTGCGATCTCCAGTTTGACAGACGGGTGCCAGTCTCGGCTGTTCCTACGGTTCCAGAGTTCCCTAAATCTAGGGAAACGCGATTGTATAGATTTTGGTAGTCCGTTATGGATTCATTATAAAATGATGACCACCCAGCAGATATTGCCCCGTCGATTTTCGAGTCTATTGCGTTCCACCATTGCTGCTCGGATGGATACCTGAATGCAGTTTCGGCGTCAAAGTATATTTCTACAACTTGACTATTTGTAATCGTCAAGGCAGTTGTGGTGGACGTTACCGTGCCTGACAACTGTTAATATTGCTCGTAGTAGAAGAAGATCATGCTCACCAGTGCTTGTGACAATTTTAATCTTGGCAGCAAAGTCCAAACCCGAGTCGGCCGGTGCTTTGCCATTGAGTGTGATAGAACGATTTGACACATTTACATCCAAACTTCTTACGCCTTGATCTCGACTTAACGAGATGGTAAAGGACAGGGCTTTAGGGCGATCGGCAGTGTACCTGAAACCGATTACACCTCTGGGATAGTTGGCGATAGCTTGACGAGTATATTTGACCCCATTTATCTGGTATGAAACCACATTGCTTGCAGTCTTCAGATCTAGCGTTCGATTATAGTTCGAGACAAGCGACGCATCGTGGTTAAAATTCAAGATCATGTTTCCAACAGGTTGGTAAATTCTCGATATAGACGGTGTTCCTACCAAGTCGGAGTTCCAAAGGCTATCTGCCGAACTAACATCCCCGTTGTTGAGATTTGACACCACGTTAGGAAATGATCCAAGGGCATTGCGGTTGACACGATCTTGATAACCGCCGCTCCAAACGGAATCCTCGTTCAAGACGACTTTCTCTGCGATGGTTCCAAAAACAACAGCACCAAGCCGGCCATTACCTACCGGCAATGCTTCCTGGAAATTGCCTGCGGGGTTGCCATACCAAAGCTTTGATGATGCGTTTGATATGGCGGACACATGGCCAAGTAAGCCGACTACGATCAGCTTCGTAATGCCAACCATGATGAAGTGTTCCAGAAACAAAACGGTACAGGCCTTTAGTAGTACAAGCGTGCAGGTTGTAGAATAACAAACCACAAGTTGGGGAATTCTTCAACCTTATATAGACGGTAATTCCAATTTCATACGTGGAAAACGAGAACGCTAAACTGTATTACTATTATTATGCAGTAGGCCGGAGCTTCTGGATGAAAGAAATAAGGCTGTCGTTAATATTTGAGTAGCGAATTACCTTTGGGATCAGACATCAAGCAATGCATTCCAGCTTCCTGATAGATGTGGGGTAAGTCTAAGCTGCTACCTGAGGTATGAAATGAGGACCGCCGGGGTGTAAAATTCAGGGTCCATTCCGGCCTACAAACGTCAGACAATCTAAGTTCTGAAACGCTGGATGTGGATCCGAAAATTCTTGTTCTTGAAGTTTTATTCGCGCGGATGTGATATTCTAGTGTTATACCACCAGCCTTTGCTTTAAGGGGCTTGGCATGCCCGCATTGAACACGAACATAGCGGGGAAGCCCGTCCCCGCGATATATGGTCCAAAGGTTGAGGTTCGGGGGGCGGGCACCAATAAAATGCATTGCTAGACGTGTTAAGTGCTAATGTTGTACCCGAGGAGCGGGACGGACTGTCATAGACCCCAACCCTAGCGTGAATTAACAATTCGTTCCTTACCGGCCCGAGCAGCTCCTATCAAATAGGCTCGGATCGTCAATCATTTTGCCTCAACTTAGGATTTCTCCACGCGGGGAAGCTCCGGTCCCCGGCTCACGCCTCATATCCGCAAACCACGGGGAAGGTTCCGAGCCGCCCTTGTTCACACCCCACACCCCACACCCCGCAACCCACGGGGAATGAAGCTCCCGCTCCGCTCCCAACCCGCAAACCCAAGTGGCGTAGCGATAAATTATCACTCCAAAAATGATAATACAGATCCACAGTCTGTCTAGAAAGGGCGCAAGTCGGATATGATACAGGGATCATATATCTTATCCGCTCCATCCCGGCATCTTTCTTACAGGCCTGTAAATGATCTACGGAGCCTCCACACGGGGATGTTTACTAGCACAGTGATCGTGATAATTGGCACTCGCATGTAAGGGGCCGTCGGTCAGTAGCGACATGTTTCTTCCTGGCGCTTTTATCTTCAGCTTTAGCGTCAGCCTCTGTTGTGTCTTCGAACTTTGCAAAGTCCGTTAAATGGATCATCCTGCATGATGGGGAACGATTACGGGTCTACACAATTGTACTGGAGAAGCACAATATGAGGGGTAGGCCATTGACGCCCGCGGACGGATCAAAAAACTTGTACAGGTGCATACAGGTGAAGACAGCCTTAGGAATGATCAAAGAAACAAGATGAAACGTATCATATTGCAATCATATTTTTTCATGCCCGAAACAATCTAGGCGACCCCACTATACACATCGCTCGCCAGGTTATTAATCCAACACTGCTTCTCAGCTCGAATAATCATCCCTAAACTCTCAAACCGTCCCTCTTCCTGCATGTCCCTCATTTTATTTTCTGCCTTGATTTTATCGTTATTCTAAACTCTATGAAACTCATTAGTTTAAATCCATAGATAAGTCACTAGGAACAAACATAGCATTTACTCACCCGTCGAATATAGCCATCAGCCTCTCCCTCTCCCTCTCCTCCCTCGTCATCTTTGGGCCCTCCCATGGTTCCTCCGTCTCTACTGTTTGCTTCCGTAATCGGGTTAATTTGCTTTCCAGCCACATTACCAAAGTTTATACTGCTGCTACTACTACTATTTCGAGCTCCCATGCTGATCCTCTCAGTCACGCCACCGGTGTCGCTAGTACTCCATGCCTCTAAGGCATTGTCTGGAACCTGCACATTCTGCCGGAACAAGAGTCCACTGGAAAAGCCGTAGCCGACGTTCTGCACGAAGTTGTTGGCATCTTTGTCACTCATTTCAAAGAGCAGGCTCGAGAGTTCTTCTCGCACTATAGGCGTGAAAGGAGTCGTCGATAGTCTTAGAATACGGGAACAGAGTGTATTTGTTTTCCCTAGTGGCTGTGCTCGATCATCTGCTGTTGGTAGAGGAGGGTACGCATATGTAATTTCACCTGTCTGGGTGCCAGGCTGTAAACCTTCCGCATCAGCGATAAGATAGGTGACACTTGTCGGTCTAAGTTTCGTTCTGGATAGGCAGTAGTCGCGAGATCAAGGTGGTCTATCATGCGCTCGGCAAACTCTTTTGGATTGGAACGTATCGCTGCATCGCCTGGGTTTGCGGGGTAAGGGGTGTGAGCAGGGGCCCGGAGGTTCCCCGCATGGAGAAGTCCTAAGTTGAGGCAAAATGATTGACGATCCGAGCCTATTCGATAGGAGCTGCTCGGGCCGGTAAGGAACGAATTGTTACTTCACGCTAGGGTTGGGGTCTATGACAGTCCGTCCCGCTCCTCGGGTACAACATTAGCACTTAACACGTCTAGCGCATGAAATCATGGGGCATAGAGGCAAAGTCTAGAGATTTGCAAAATTAGTAAATCTTCTACTTCCTTCAAACATATATATATGGGGGTATCCATGCGTATGATGAGATCTTTAACATCATCGCAATTATTTATTAAACCTTCCTAAGATGCTGACTTTCATTACACTAGGAGCTGCTTTGTTTATAAGTTTGGCATTAGCATCGAAGCAAATTGCAAGTCAAATATCTCACTACAGAAAATAGCTAACGGTTGAGGTAGGTTCCTGGAGCGACCTGGACTGCAAAGGGGACAAACCAGCATGTTCAAGCCCATGGAGGAGGTGAGATTACTCTTCATTAAGAGAAGTGGAGGGCTAAGATTCTCTAGATATCACCCAAGTTGGCTCAACGTACTATTGGATTGGGGAGAACAAGCTTTCCGGGAGCGCATTCCAATCAATCAACTGCTATTCCAGTACCGTATGTATTCAATTCCAGCTTTACGGAACTATACTAATTTTCTTAAGGATCTTGTTCAGTGGACCTTTGTGAACGAACTCCTAACATTGCAACCGGGTGGGGATCTTGGGCCAAACCGTGTTGTCGAAAGACCACATGTTATCTACAACTCTCAAACATTAACATATGTTATGTGGATGCATATTGATTCTAGCGATTACCAAGAAGCCAAAGCTGGAGTTGCTACTTCACCAACAGTTTGTGGCAATTATGCGTATCAGTAAGACTCAGATTCCATTATTCGTTTCTTAAGGGTAATATCTAATACAATGTGATTTTAGAGGCTCTTCTCGGCCGCTTGGTTTTGAATCAAGAGATATGGGCCTTTTTAAAGGTTTGCAATCTATCTTTTATTTGCAATGTTAAAGGAGTTATGGAAACTAATGCTTATTAATGCTTATAGATACTGATGGTAGTGGCTATCTCCTTTCTGAGGACGTATGTGCCCCCGCACACATACAGAAGTTATATACCTAACTCTTTTCTTCAGCGATCTAATGGCCTACGAATTGATAAGCTATCTTCAGATTACCTAAGCGTGGAATCTACAGTCTATATCCTTGCTGATTATGAATCGCCTGCTATGTACAAGTCTAATGGCACTTATTTTATGTTTGGTTCAAGCTTAACTGGTAAGATTCTCCTTTCTACACTTCTCCTATGGATAACAGCTGATATCAAAACGATAGGATGGAGTAAGAACACTTCCTATGATAGCCTTAAATGGCACCTAACTTACGTCATGAACAGATGCAAATGACAACGTGTACACTACAGCAACTAGTCTCCTTGGCCCGTGGGCAGAATGGAAAACGTTCGCAGCCCCTGGCTCTAACACATACAGCTCCCAAACAACCGCTGTGGTATCTATTAATGGGGTTGTTATGTATATGGGGGATCGCTGGGTATCTAACAACCTTATGTCATCAACTTACATCTGGCTACCGTTAACAATATCAGGCACTACTGCCACAATGGTATTACCTGTACCTGTCTTATTATCAAATGCCGCTAACGCATCTATAGGACAACAGGAATAATTGGATAATTAACCCCTCTGCTGGAACCTGGTCATCACCTCCTACGGAAACAGTTATAGAAGCTGAAAGCTGCTCTAACATCCTCATAGGGGGTGCTACAGTCGTATCATGCTCAGGATGCTCTAATGGCAAAGCTGTTGGGTGGATTGGTGGCTCTGGAAACGGCACCTTGACATTCCCTGCTATTTCTAGTTGGACTTCTACTACTACAACGATTCGGATCCAACAGCAGAATGGGGACGGGGTTCAAAGATATGGAAATGTGACGGTTAATGGTGTCTCGAACATAATCGCTTTTGTGCCGACTCCGAACGGGAATACTCCAGGGACTTCTGTCTTGACTGTTCCGCTCAAAAAAGACTCAGCAAATGTGATCAAGTTTGAGGCGTATAATGGTGGATATGGTAAGTATCTACCTCCTACTGTGATTGGAGACTAATGATTTGCTAACTTAGTGAAGTTGCTGATATCGATCGATTAATAGTGCCCATTTCTTAAGAGTAGGCACGCTGTTATGCATACTGATTGGCCTTCGGTGGTTTATCTTACAGTGAATAGCACAGTCTCAGTAAACTAATCTGTTGATAGTGATGGTATAAAGCAGTGTTGTGTTGTGCAGTGTTTCCACGTTTTACATTCTATATAAGGTGGCAGAATTTTGAAGTTTAATGTTTTCCTACATAAGCAATAAAATACATTCTGCTACAGCTCCAACAATTTAAGGAGGGCTTAGAGGTTGTTGTCTTGCATTTGTAATTTGTGAATTAGAAGAAGGGGCGGTGTTTGGTGATTGGGACGGGTACGTACATGTTGAACTGCTCGACCGCAATTATATCCTTGGGATTTCAGACCTGGCTTGTTGCAGTATGGCAAGCGATCGTTTTTCGAGGAAGTTGGAGGACCTGCCAGGAAAATCCTTTAATATATCTAACTCGTCATCTACAGTTCGTCTCCTAGTATCTATGATCCCGGGACATTTTTGGTCCCGCACGAGATAGAGGCACAGCACATTGACCCTCTGATTCCAGCACCAGAAACTGGAGAAGTGACCTGTGATAACGCCCAAATCTTTGAATAACAGAACGCCTCAACCTTTATCACGTCTGCGATTGCGCTCCTGGTCCCCTGGCCGGTGTACCACTATGTCGGAACGAGTTTGCCTGCAGCACGAGAACTAAGATTGAAGCCTAGATATTCTCTCGACGACCACCACTGTTTGCGAACAAGCTCATACACAAGCCCCGGGTTGACGAATGCAACTACCCATTCGTCTCCCAGCCCAACACTTTTCAACCCTCCTTAATTATCTCCAACTGCCAATCGCCAAACTCTTCCGCTTGCCCCTTCTGAACCTTGCAACCCTTGAAACTCTTCTCCCGCTCCTCCCTCTCCCCCACAGCCCATAATTCCGGACGCTTGCCGTCTCGACCAACCCACGGCTGCATCCGCACCGCCTCTATCGAACATCCTTTCATCTCTCCATGCCCCATCAACTGTCAATGCTCTTCCACCTCCACTACCAACCTCGAATTGAATTCACAGCAACATTTGCATCTGATTCCATCAATCACATCCAACCCTTCCTGTGCACCCTTTCCATCCTCCGGCTTCAACCCTAAACAATCCACCCAACCCCAATGATGTGCACGTATATGCCTCTCAACCTTGTTTGCCATATCCTTCTTGATCCCATGTCTCGTCTTCAAATGCTTCCCTACAAACCCCACTGTTATCCCCACCCTACATTCCTTGCAAATCAACCTTTGATACTCTATGTTATCTGTGAATAACGTCGACCACTCATCCAATATTTCCATCATTTGCTTCTCGCTGTCGCTCATTGTCGGTTCTTGCACTGCCTTGCTTACTTTTGTCGATATAACTGGTGCTGTGCTCTGCTGGACTTGTTGGAATATATATATCCTACCCCAAACCCTCCGCCCTGTACTTGTGGTTTGTCCCCCCTATATCTATGGTTTATTCTGTCGCTTTCCAACTTCTCACCTCTTTATTTAATCTATGCCTATTCTCTACTCTATCGTCTATTTGGTCTATCGTGCCTAATCTATACTCCTAACCCCATCTTCCAACCCAGCTGTCAACCAATAAAACACGTAATAAAACACTGGCTTCCATGCCTCCCAATATGATCTTCTTCCCGGATCTTCCCGGCCGCCGGCGTGGTGTATCGTACCTTGAATTCGTACGAACGGGTCTGGTATATCCACTGTTATCGTGACCATGAAATCCCGTAAAGCTTAGGGACTGTCCGCAGAACTTGAATAGACCTTCGTACAAGATTCCAATGTTGTACGAAACGTGGCACGTGGGTAACCCTACACTAACTTACCCAAGCTGTCGTTGTTGAACCTTCAGGGTTGCAGCTTATCATGGTGGAATGGCTGGTCTTCTAGGTACCTCTACGGAGTATTACCTGATACACCTGAGCTATTGTTCGAGCGCCTAAATATCTTTATCAGTGGGTTACTTTGTAACATCCAATTTAAATCGTTGACTTTCAATTGTAATGTCCAATTGAAATCGTTTAAATCATTCGCTGACCCTCTCATCTCCCTCCAAACTTTACTCAACAAACTCCATCTTGAAGCCCGAGGTTACAACCTGGAGTAAACAAATTAATAACTTCACTTCTTCATGTCAAATTAGAAAAACAAATATATTATATGTTTTGTGGCTATCTCTACTATCACCTTACACCCTCGTTTGATTTGTTGCTGTTGAAAATTTCTCTAAGTCCCGCCCAAAACTTTCCACAGGTCGTATAACCTCTAACCCTCAGCACTCTATAATGAAACCTGGTGGGCGCTTTTCCTTCAATTCAGTCAGCATTTGAGTGTTAATATGATCGTGTTTGTCCATACCATCCCATTCACACAAATAGTAGTTCTGGGTTTGATCAAATGTTGAGTAGGGCAAGGTTTGCTACGAGTTCACTGCCGCTTGACTTCCACGACACCTGTGCGGCCAATTCAATGGTCAATTGTGCTGCTGTGATGCGTTTCCTGGGATTCGGCTCAAGCATAGACCGGACTAGTGAAAGATTCTTTGGGGCAGCATCTGCAGCTCGTCGAACTTCGCGAAGCCAATTCAACATCTTTCCGTGGGCCTCCTTATGAAGAGTAACCTCCGCGATTCTCCAAGCCTTTTTGGATTTGGAAGAGGCATGAGGCCCAATACAAACAACATGGTGCCGCCGAAGGGCCAGACGTCACCTTCTCGTCCGCGTCGGCCGTCGAATATGTGTTCTGGGGGAACGTACCAGGGAGTTCCGGCATTACAAGGTACTGGCTTAGCTCCTCTCACAGAAATGTCAAAATCGCAGAGCACAGCTCGACCACCTTCTTGAAGCAGAATATTCTGGGGCTTGATATCGAGATGGGTGACATTTTGGGCATGCATATATTCGATACCACTGGTGATATCCCTCCATATTCGATTCTGTGAAGTTTCTGGCAATAGCGACATGCGATCTCTATCAGAAAATGTAGCTAGATTTGGTCCGATGTATTCAAGCTCTAGACTTAAATTTACGGCGTCGTAGTGGATGAGTGACACAACTGATGGCTGTCAAGGAGTTAGGCCTAAAACATCTGTATCATCTTTCATGAACGAATAGGAGGGCCGATCACTTTGGATTTCCTCGATTTTGTGTGCTTCATCGTATTGTTTCGCGTGGCGGGCGATGTTGTGATTAATATTGTCGGCTAGGTGGTGGTGGTCGATCAGGTTCTCGATGTCTATATTCCCACCGTACGTTGTGAGGAATATGATCCTCGATACCAGGAGCTCGTCCTCCTGGTTCCCATTCTTGAGGCGCTGGCATAGCTTTTTTTCGTAATGCAATTCAACAAACCGAGCTCTGGCGGAAGGGTTGAGCAGCATTGCATTCGCTAGGCAGCGCAGCGCACATCGAGAAGTTGTGAAGGAAGGGCTGTTGAAGGCATGACGAGTGTTGGTTTCGATTCCCTGGTAGGGTTGCCATCAGCATTATTGTGTACAGCGGGATGATTCTCACACATACCTCGTTTGTGAACATGGGATCCGCATCCTTGGAGTCTCGTCCGTATACCTTCAACTGTTCGAGAGCTGCATCCCGCTCTATATCTGTTAGCAATGTCGATTGCACATTAGCTTTTTACAATTGCTCACGGTGCGGTAACATGCAGATCTTCCCAAGATCCCGATTCAGCTCGTATATGACGCGCGCCACCTCGGCCAGTTTCGCTGCGAGAATCTGTCAGGGGGACGATATTCATATTAATTCGTCACAAAGTGCATACCTGGGCCAGTTAATACTGGCGGTGCGACCTTAGCCGGCGCTTTCTTTGGAGGTTTCATGTCGGCAATAGGCTTAGAACAATGTAACTTCAGGTCAAGTATCCCTGTTTATGATGGAGTTGAGGGATCCAGAGACTCAGATGCCGGATCAGACGACGAGGATATGTCATGGCTGGAGGTTAGTAGTCGACTTGAAAAAGCTGGTTCTTCCTTCAAGTGGCATGGTGATGATTGACTTTGGAAGTCGGTCGGGTGCGATAATTTGGGTGTGGTCATCCTGACCAAACTTTGAAAACGCAGCCTTTCTAGTTGCTGGGCAGTTATTCTGGAAACGAACACGCGCGTTAAGCCGCAAGCAGACTGGTCAGGGAGCCAGAAAGTAAGGGTGGTTAGGGGCGTGGATGCGAGTGTGGAAGTTGCCGAGAAGACAGGGGACCGTAGAGGATGATCAATGGGGCGTGTGGGGAACGGGCCCCCAGCCCCAGCTGGAATGCGGAATTGTGTTAGCCTGGAAACTTGCCCAGTTTGGAACAAATATTTAGACGGCACAGGGCTGCCGAATGGAGAGTTGTTCCCGCTTTCTATGGCTTGTTCATCTGCAACAGTCTTGGCCTGAATACGGAGCTGCCGGATCTACAAATTTCCTACGTTTGTTTCCCTGCACCCTAGAAACTTGTCAGGGAGCCAGAAGGTAAGGGTTAGGGGTGTAAATCCGATTCCTGGCCTAGAAACTTGCGGAGGAACGTTGCAGATCCTCCAGGGGGGATCTTTTTAGTGGGGCAAACAAGCCAGCTAATGACCAGCTGGTCATTGCGTACGGTACGGCTCGCTTAATCTTAATGGACACGTACCCTCAACCTTGAGCGAGTCTTTAGCCCCATCTTCTGTCAACAAGTGCCCACTTGACAAACTTGTACTGCGCTGCGCACTAGTAGGCGGGGTAGTAGGCGGGGTACCAGGGTAGACTGACAACCAACCCATGTACCGCTGGGCGCTAGTCCGGGTCCCATCCGTTCACCAAACTAACCAATGTTGAAGCAAACATCTCAGTTACCCAGATCCCCCACCCAGCGCAATTGACAACTATAACCCCATAATTTCCCCGCATTTATATAATGTACCAATCAAGTTTTATTTTAGGTAGGGTGGGATATTGTTCTTTCGCTTCGATTTACATCTTTACTTTTACAAATTAGTCTGAGTAAAGTATTTACGTATTACTGTCTCGGCTCCGACATCCCCGGTGGATTAGAGGGAAAGTTAAACATGATGGAGTGGCAGCCATTTGCCAATTCATGGGGGATTTTTTTTAACAAACTAGACGCTTACTGTAGCGTTTATGGCGACGGGCTCGGATTTTTCTTTCCGTGAACAGATAGTTGGCATCCCCGACTTGGCCTTGAAGACCTTCAAGTGTACAGAATTTGCTATTTAAGGCCAGATTCCTCATTGTTCATAGCCATTAACCACAGATCATCTGTGGTTCCTTCCACAAAAATCGCTCTCCACCCCTTTCCTCTCTTCGTATTTTAAACATTTTCTTCGCAATGCGCTTCCATGCATTCCTAGGATTGGCCGTGGTCTTAGTCCACAGTCCTCTCACGGCGGCCGATGTCACCACAACCATAAGCGCCCAGTCTAACCGGGGGACCTGGGACGGATGGGGAACTTCACTGGCGTGGTGGGCCAAGAAGTTTGGCGATCGTACAGATCTGTCCGATATCCTCTTCACCGTGAAGAAATCGCAGTTCCTCGGCCAGAGCCTACCCGGCTTGGGGTTCAACATCGCCCGCTATAATGCTGGCGCCGGCAGCTCAAACAGCTACAATGGCGAGAGCATGGTGAAGTCGGCGAATATCTTACCCTCAAGACAGATGGATGGTTACTGGGTTAACTGGGCGAGTGAAAACCCGACGTCGTCGAGCTGGAACTGGACGGTTGACAGGCCCCAGCGCCAGGCGTTGCGCCATGCAATCGACAGAGGCGCAACTAGGATAGAGCTGTTCTCCAACTCGCCCATGTGGTGGATGTGCAAGAACCACAATCCGTCTGGCGCCAGCGACGGAAGTGAGAATATCCAGTCCTGGAACCTGGAGCGGCATGCCATCTACATGGCAAACGTTGCCAAGCACTTCAAGGACAAGTGGAACGTGCAATTCGAGTCTGTCGATCCTTTCAATGAACCTTCTGCCGATTGGTGGAGGGCCGATGGCACGCAAGAAGGTTGTCATTTTGACATCGCCACTATGGCGACGGTCATAGGCTACCTTCGCACCCACCTCGATAGTCGCAAGCTGTCGACTATAATCGCGGCCTCGGACGAGTCTTACTACGACCAGGCAGTTAATACTCTCCAAAACATTGGAAGCACGGCGATCAGCAAGATCTCACGCGTCAACGTCCACGGCTACCAGGGCGGAAGCGGAAGGAGAGATACGCTGTACAGCCTCGCATCTGCCGCCAACAAAACACTCTGGAACTCCGAATACGGAGACGGAGACGGAACGGGTATGAATCTTGTCCAGAATCTCCTTTTGGATTTCCGTTGGCTTCTCCCGACGGGCTGGGTGTATTGGCAAGCGCTCGACGGCGGCGGTTGGGGTCTTATAGACGCTAGTAATGATTCTGGTCAGATCAGCGGAGTGAACCAGAAGTACTGGGTGCTTGCGCAGTTCACGCGGCATATTCGCCCTGGAATGCGCATTCTCGACGGCGGTAACGATAACGTTGTCGCTGCGTATAATGCCAGCGCACAGAAGTTGGTTGTTGTCGCTGCCAACTACGACACTGCGCAATATATCAACTTCGATCTGTCCAGTTTCTCCCAGCGCCCCGCTAACGGTACTGCGATTGCTCGCTGGAATACCCAGATCAATGGCGGTGATCGTTATGTTCAGTATTCCAATACAACCGTTTCCGGAGCCAAGTTCTCGTCGTATTTCAATACGAATACCGTGCAGACTTTTGAGGTTACGGGTGTGGTATTGTGAGTATCATTAGGGTTTCTCTTATTATAGTGCTACAAAGAACACAGTGCTAGAATTAATTGGATTTTGCCACGCTAAAAGGGAGACTATGTACAACTACGTCTTTAAATTCTCGAAGTGATGCTTGCGAATTATTTCTGTATATCAACCTTCTCCCACGAAAGCCATCTATGTTGGGCTTAATGCGGAATTCACAAGAGAGTCTATATGGTTAAGGCTAGTGGATTCACATCTCCTGATATGCTAGATGAAGGCTCACCCTCGGTTTCAACTTCCAAAGATGAGGTATCATCTAGCACATCATCACTGTGACCTGAATATCAAACATGGCAATTGAGACATCTTTCGGATGCATATGAGGTGGCGGACGGTAAATCCGTACTGCTGGACCAGTCGCATGGGTGACATCAGATGTAAGATGAGAGGCATCGACAAAATCAGCGACCTCTGAGGGGGTCTCCAAGGGTCTGCCAAGATGAGATGCTTCTGGTTTCTGGTCGTGATGGTCAGCAATCAGCACTAGCTTGCCAAGAACCGCGAATTCAACCTTCAACTTAATGCTGTACACTAAACCCTCGAACGTGTGATTTGATTAGTACGCAAGTTTGCGAATTCCATAGTGATGAGTCCCAGGTCGATGACAATAAAGTCAAAATTGATAACAACAAGTTGGATGACAATTTTTCGATTCTCTCCCTTGTCATGATAGATCAGAGTTGCGTGTTCTGGGGCCGTTTCTTACATCCCTGCGTTTGGTTGTGATTCACGCACACAAACGCTTCAAACATAGGTAACCTAGCAACCGTTGTGTTTTAGCTGTTTTGGGCTGCCCACTGTGTCGGACCCGATATCCCCGGACCTGCTTCCCTAAACACAATGCAACCAGTAGTTTATGTGCTCTATTCATGGATGCGATTGGGCTGAAACTTGTAATTTCGAAGATTGTGTGGGTTTGTATTAATATTGTGGCGGGGTGAATCAATAACGAGAATAGAGCGTAAATACCTCTTCGTGGAAATACCGCATATGTATTTTTGTTTGAATAGAGGGATTTGTAAGACACGTTGAGGTATTATCATGTGCTGTAACGTTAAGGGTGCATTGTGAGTGAAGGACATTTGGTAGTAGGTCAGGCTGGGTGTGGGGGTTAGCTCCGGCAACCTTGCCTTTCTGTATTCTCTAAGAAACTTGCCCCTGTCCATGGGCTTCGGCGCCAGGCTGTAGCCAGCATAGTGCCGAAGCCCCCCATATGGAGATTTTCCTAGGATGTACTGTAGCTAGCGAAAAACAAATTAATTTAGGAATCCATGCGGCCCTAATCTCCCTTAACGTCCTGATTGGCACTCCTGGTCGTCGCTCTGGACAGGCCCGAGTAACTCAAACTCTAAGGATGTGGCAACTGGGCAATCTCAGCTGTTACTTCGCCGACGGCATGTGGGGATTGCACCCGAAGGGCCTTGACTCGTTCTCTTAGTCATTCCCTTCACTGCAATACTCCAGACTCACTCCGCACAGAGCCTGAGCTCCACTACGTCCTCAAACGTGAGAAAATTCCCCATGGTATCGTGGTGTGATCAGATTTTGGGGTTTGGTGAAGGGCACAACAGCCCCATCCATCCTGCCTCGTTTCCCCACCTAGTACCCCAGGATGAGTCCTGTTAGATGGAGGGAGGGACCGTCTTGAGGAACACAGAATTCCTATATAACAAGTTTGCTCCCAGACCCCATGGCTTCTGTTGCAACTCATCATCACTTCACTCGCTCTCCTTGCAAGCCCGACCTGAACCTCGATCTCCTTAAATTGGATCTTCTTCTCACTCCCTACATTCGATGAAAGCAAAAACAATAACAATGGCTGACGACGCTCCTGCCCTTCGCGGGACCTTTGATACTGAGCGCATCGAGGCACCCGTGACGGTCAAGGCCTACCTTATGTGTGCTTTTGCCGCATTTGGAGGAATCTTCTTTGGTTATGATACGGGATGGATGGGAGGTGTTCTTGGAATGCCATACTTCATCCGCCAGCACACCGGTCTCGAATACCCATGGGACAAATACCCCTCTATGGAGGGCGCCGCGTACGAGCAATATAAGCTCGACTTTCATATTCCCGCTACGAATGTATCGCTCATGACTTCTATTCTCTCCTGTGGTACCTTCTGTGGCGCCATCGCCGCTGGTGATATTGCTGATTTCATCGGTCGTCGTATGGCTATCATCGCTGGTTGCATCATCTTCAGCATCGGGGCTGTCCTCCAGACTGCTTCCACCACCCTTGCCGTGATGGTTGTCGGTCGTCTGATTGCTGGCGTCGGTGTTGGTTTCATCTCCGCCATTATCATTCTTTACATGTCCGAGATTGCACCAAAGAATGTCCGCGGTGCCTTGGTTTCCGGATATCAATTCTGCATCACCATTGGCATCCTCCTCGCTAACTGTGTTGTCTATGCGACCCAGCAGCGCGATGACACTGGATCGTACAGAATCCCCATCGGCGTCCAGTTCCTCTGGGCTATCATTCTCGCCGTCGGTCTTTTCCTCCTCCCCGAGTCCCCACGCTATTTCGTCAAGAAGGGTAGACTCGTAGAGGCTGCTGCCGCTCTCGCATCCGTTCGTGGCCAGGAAGTCGACTCTAAATACATTGAGGACGAGCTTGCTGAGATTGTCGCCAACTATGAGTATGAGCAACAGGCCATCCCGCAAACCTCTTACATCGGTGGGTGGGCAAACTGCTTCAAGGGCTCCCTTAGCGACGGTTCATCCAACCTCCGCCGCACTATTCTTGGTATTCTCATGCAGATGATGCAACAGTTGACCGGTATCAACTTTATCTTCTACTTCGGGACCATCTTCTTCCAGTCTCTAGGCACGATCGACAACCCTTTCTTAATCTCCCTCATCACCACCCTCGTGAACGTCCTGTCCACCCCATTAGCCTTCTGGATCATTGAGCGTTTCGGCCGTCGTCGCATTCTTATCATAGGTGCTTCTGGTATGGTTGCCGCCCAGTTCATCGTCGGTATCATCGGTGTAACCGCCGGAAGGTTGGAGGCACACAACGCAACTGCCGTCAAGACCATGATTGCATTCATCTGCATCAACATCTCGTTCTTCGCCACCACTTGGGGTCCAGGCGCTTGGGTCGTCATCGGCGAGGTCTTCCCGCTCCCCATCCGCTCTCGTGGTGTCGGTCTCTCCACCGCCTCTAACTGGTTCTGGAACTTCGTAAGTTATCTCCAATCCCCTAGCTTGGTAAACGCTATTCTAACATTCCCCAGCTTATCGGTTTCATTACCCCATACCTTGTCGGTACCGAGAAAGGGCAGGCAAACCTCGGGGCAAAGGTCTTCTTCTTGTGGGGAGCCCTCTGCTGCGTTTCTTTCACCTTCGCGTACTTCCTCGTCCCAGAAACTAAGGGTCTTTCTCTCGAGCAAGTCGATAAGATGTTGGAGGAGACCAACCCACGTTCCTCCAACAAGTGGAAGCCACACTCCACCTTCGTCGCGGAGATGCGTGCCAAGCATGATGGTATCAAGATTGCCGAGAAGTCCGTTGAGCGCGTCGAGGTTCTCGGCGAGAAGGCTGTTTAAATGTCGCCTCGTGTATAGATACTAAGTATCCCCCGTTCGAGTTTTGTTCTCATCGAGTTTATTAATACTAGAGAGGGGTATTCAGATAATGATCTTGAAGATCCAAAAATTTGACTCTTTCCAAATATGAAATTGAAGTCGATGCTCATTACATATATATACTCTATACATAAGTACCACAGAGGATGGGCGGATTGGGGTAAATTCCCCTCGTTCTAGCCATTCCTAGAAGCTAGCCATTCCTAGAAGTAATGTCATATTATCCTCTCCCATGTCACCCAAATCTCTTGCCCGATTACCGCATACATCTAAACAGGAGGCAATCTAGACGCTGAGGATCTTCATGCTATCCCGGATATACTAAGTCATTATTCCCCTTCCTTCGCTTCCGTAAGTAAGTCGCCGACCGATCAAATCAGTTGTTAACGACTCGCGGGTTTTGCTTCCTCACTGTAAGAACATTCGTTCCTAACGACTTAGACTTCATAGGTTGTATTCCATCACATCTAGTTCACAGTAGCTTCACTTTCTATCACTAGGAGCGATCAGCAATGTTGGCCGAAAACATACCACTCTGTTTGTTGGCCTGGAGAGACCACATGAGAACATGTTGTAGTCAGAATAGCCACAATATCGATGAGTACAGCGATGGCCGGTTAGATAAACGTCGAGAAGGTCTTGCCGCGCGTAGCGCTCTCTCTGTTTCCCGAATTGGGCCAGGGGGCGACCTGTTTGACATGAAGTTTTTGGGGTCTGTTCATGCAGACTAAAAATCTATGCGGGGATATTTGGGTCAGAAAACATAGGGTTCATATGAAATGGGATTCAGGTAACTTCATCACCTTTAATGGTCTCCAGTTTTTATATAAATCTCTTTTCTCGATGGTTCAAATTCTATAGAATTATACGGGCTGATATTAAATTATAGTATCCAGTATCCTTGTCCTACATCTTTATCTTAAGGATTAGCATTGTTGTAACGAATCAGTGTAGAAAAGAAGTTGTACTGAAGTACAACTCCACGAATGTACTTATTATACCATGGTACCCTTTATCGCCACATTTATTTTGCACCGCGATCGCATGAAGCAAAATAACACGTGCAGGGGTTACCAAGAAAAATCATGACAGACGGGAGTATGACTGACCATTACTTGTAAAGTGGGTTGGGTCGAGAAGCGAGTTGGCTAGCGCTGATAGCTATTTAATTAAGACTACGTGCGGATCCCTGTGGGCGATCGTGGATTCCACATAGGCGATCGCGGGGTAATTAAGAGGTCTGCGCTAACAGGGGGGGTCGGTGTCAACCCCTGATCGCATCCTGACACATACGAACACAAGTATTTAGAAAACATATGGGAAGAATATTCATAATATGTTTGAAGCCTTGTCAAAAAAAAAAAAAAATCTATATTCACCACTTACACTCCTCTAAGACCTACCTACGTAACATGTGCGCATGTGGGAGGTGCGTGTAGAAATATCTTATGAGGACAATTCTAGTCTATTTTTACTGATTCATAGTGGTCTGGTTGATTTTGGAAGGATAATTGTTAATATTGTTATATAGTTGTGGCTAATCTCTTCGTTGTTTTTAGAATGAAATTTTTTGTATCAGCGAGCGTGTGGAAAAGATTCCTCCTGCGAACTTCAGAGTTTTCTCAGGCATCCATCAGCTTGGCCGGATCCTCGACACGCATGGTGTGCAACAATGTATTGGCTCCTCTCTTCTCCAAACTCTTCTTCACCGGATTCTTAGCTTCAAAGACTTCTGAAAGTTCCTCCAGCGTGCGCTCCTTGGTCTCTGGGAAGAAGAAATACATAACGACAACCTCAATAAGATCCCAGAAGACGAAAACTAGATAGAACCAGTATCCAATTGCTTGAAGACCAGGGCCAATACCATAGTTAGAAACGGCACCAGCAGCATTAGAAGCAAGATTGCCCAGAGCTGTACCCTTGGCCCGGGTTGCGGTGGGTAAGGTTTCAGCGATGTACATTGATTGTAGGGGAGTCCAACCAAAAGAGAAGACAATCCCGAAAACGTAGATGAATGCAATCGTGCAGTTTGCTGCAGCGCGGTTGGCGGCGCTCTCGGTCGCGAGCTTAGATGTCCCAAATATGACGAGGAAACTCATAGAGCAGAAGACGGTGCTGTAAAGCAAGAGTGGTCGACGGCCAATTACATCCGTCATTCTCGCTCCGGTAACGGCGGCGATGAAGCAAATTATCGGATATATAGCGTTAAGAATGAGTTGGGTATGTGCGTCGTCGATACCGGCGTTTTTCACCATAACGGGTAGATAGTAGCCAGTAGCCGAGTTTCCGCTAAGCTGACCGAAAGTAGCCATGCCCAGAACGCAAATAAGACGTCGCCTGGCAGAATGGGTATTGAACAGCTCACGGTAATCCCACCATTTCTTGTCTGAAGACTGTGTTCCGATCTGATTCTGCATCTCTTTCAATTGTAGCATGACCAGTGGGTGCGTTGCGGACCCCTCCCCGTGATAGCGTGCAAGGACAGCACTAGCCTCGTCATATCGATCGTTGGCCATGAGCCATCGAGGAGACTCTGGTAGGAACCATACAGCGATGGCGACGAAGCCGGAAGTGATCATTTGACACCAGATGGGAATGCGGAAGCCATTGGATGTTTCGATATAAGAGCAGGCGAAGACCACCCATCCAGCAATTATAGATCCGATGTACCTGTGAATCAATATCAATACTATTCTAACATGCTCGAAACCCATTCGTCTCAGACATACCATGTACAATTATAAAAGCCAGTTAACGTCCCTCGCCACTCTGGATGTGCCATCTCGCTGACATAGCACGGAGCGCTTACACAGCAAAAGGATACGCCGAAGCCTAGGACGAATCTTCCTGCCAGAAGCTGGTCGGTTGTGGTCGCGGTTGCTTGGACGCAGGTACCAATTATGATAACTACAGCTCCAACGAACATACCCCTGGTTGAATCAGCAGAAGCCTCATAGGTACGGACTAAATTATCTTACATTCGTCGCCCGTACAGATCATTGACTGGACCTGTGCAGAAGACCGCAGGAATAGCGCCGATATTGTACATGGCGAAAATTAGGCCGGTGAGCTGACTTGAAACGCCACTGCAGGTGTATATATCAGTAATAGAATCTTACAACCCAGTATAAGCATTTACACATACACGTCAAAATAGTCTTGATAAGTTGTCATCGCATTCAAGCCTCCCATAAGACTTCCGTCATAGCCATTGAGACATCCGCAAAGGTAGGCGACCCAAAGACAGCCGTACAGACGCCACATACTCGGCGTGAAGGGATTGTACTTTCCTTCGGTGGCGTCGTGAGCAAGTTGAACGGCGTTGCTTAACTCATCGGTTTTGCTCTCGGTTTGAAGAACATCCTCCTTGAGGTGCAGCTCTGGCTTGTCCATTTTGATGGACAGATGCTTAGTTGAAGAGTTGGACGAAATTGAATGAGTGATCAATGCTGATATAACAGATTTGACCAAGAGGAGACCAACGTGCTCTTATAGATTTCTGACGAAAACAAGGATTAACTGATTTCTGAATAGGTTCACTCAGGCATGCATGGATTCCCCAAGTAATCACGTTGATGTGCATGTGCGTCTGGGGAAGGTGTCTCGGTCCGTCCACGGATATTACCGAGAATGTTGGTCGAGAACATGGGGAGAGCTTTGGTAGCGAGAAATGTGGAGAGCCATCCCTAACTACGTTACTGGAGCTCCAGTCTAATCAAAAACAGTAGGGGGAACAGACATGGGCGACAGTGGGGCTAAAGAGCGGCCATTACTTTCTAGGTGGTCGCTAGTTGACGGTTTTCGGACGGTTTTCCAACCTAACGATAAGGTTGGGCTCTAGTTTATTGCTCCAACTGTAGTTTTAAACGACGGTAGCGACAGTTCATAGCTTTAACTATAGTTAAACAACAAATATCTACCATTTCAGCCTACACATTTAGGCTCTGTAAGTTCTACTTTTGCGGTCCTTACTTATATACCGTTGTAAAGCAGTTGTACAACTGTTGTTTGTTACGAAAACTGCGGCCGACCGTTCTACAACCGCTTGCCTGCCACTAGGAAACCTGTGGCGCTTGCGTACTATCGCAATTTTGAAGCGTCATGTATACTTGAAAGTAAAATGTGCCTAAGATAAAAGGCAAGGGTTCACGGAACGCCGTTGCCTTTCCCTTAATTCCTTCCTGGAAGCAAAAGACCAAAAACACCACGGCTCGGGATGGTGCTCCGGAGCAAAGTGAGCTAAAATTGGAAGTATCACCCTGCGTCTATCCGTCTCGGCCCGACAACTTTTTGTAGTCTCAGCTAAATTCCCTAGGTGGAAATAACATATTTGTGCTGCGCAAATGAAGTAAAAGTCCAATCGGTTTCAGATCACGTATGGCTTCTGTGTCGCTGCTCATGCGAATGAGACGGTATACCGTCCACTTTGGACAAGATGCTCTTTTGCTAGAGTAAAGCCTGCATGATATTCATGCTAGCAGCTTTGTACTCGCTAGCAGAATTGGATCCACATTTGCGATTGTGGGGTAGAGCTAGGTATCGACATCGAGGATAATATTTCCAAGTGTTCTAACTATATCGTTCCGCCCCATAGTGTCGGACCTGGTATCCCCGAACCCGCTTCCCCAAACAGAATGGAATTAGTAGTGCACGGCCTTAGTTCAGCGGTTCCCTAGACCTTCCCCTTTCTCAAACCCACACTCTACCACTCTTTGGCTGGGCCAACCCCGCCATCTGCATGGCGCCTGCATCATCCCAGTACATAGAGCAGCGATTCCTGGGCCCTGTCTGTCTTGAGCAATTTTATATCAGCTATCGACCTCAATCGTCGCCGTGGTGAAGTTTTGCTTCGTCAGTCTCGACCTGTTCGATCCGCATCTACTCAACTTTCCAGCCACGATCACTCAAATGGACACGCTGCTAGATTAGGCATCTATAACTTCCGACACACACAGCGTCCCGGCGCGCGCACTTCAGAAACCATGTATCAGGCGAAGAATGTGTACTTGATCTGTGGCTTTGCCGCCATTGGTAAGTCCACTTCCTCTCTGTGTGCTTGTGGCCGAATGTAGGGTGATGTCTCGTGACAGATCGGGCATTAGGACATTAGATCATAAGAAACCACCAAGCTGACCTAATGGTGGCTAGGCGGTGGCCTTTCTGGCTTCGATATCTCCTCTATGTCAGGAGTCCTTGGGACAGCGGCGTATAAACGATACTTCAATAATCCGTGAGCGCCGCCGGATCTGACCATGTACGGACACCGCTTACTCAGACAGCGTTTCCTCTACCTAGGGCGCCATCACTGCCTCCATGCCCTTTGGATCCTTTTTTGGCGCCCTCCTTTCCTCATTCGTCGCCGATCGCTATTCCCGCCGCACCGCCATCTAATGCTCCTATATCCTCTAGGTGATTGGGTCCATTAAACAGTGAAAATGGTCATAGGGTTAGACTTATGTTTTTA